AGACCCAAGAGATTTCCATCATCACCTCTCCCCTGTGCCCCCCGGTCCCTGTCTAGCACCCGCCACCCTTGCAGCATCGCGCGCGCGCAGCCCAGAATAATCGGGAGCGCCTGCTCCCACCGAGGGCAGCTGCCGCGCGTGTTGCTGGGCTCCTGTGTTGGGAGAGGGGCCGATGGAGTCCGGCGTGACCGGCACGGTTCGGCACGGCCCGTGTTCAAGGCGCAGAGTTCTGAACCCAGGGCTGGTCCTGGGGGGTGAAGCAGGAAATCGGCGTTTCCAGGTGCCAGCGTCGGGGTCGGAGCCGCTGGGCACGGCACGGTTGGAGTCCTGCAGTGCCCTTACCTGGCGGGAGGCTGGGCGTTGCGAGGGGAGGGCGTGCGGGCGCCTGAGCCCCCCCGGGCGGCTCCCGAGCTGTCGGCGTGTTCCTAAAGGCCCGTCCTGCTCATCCCGTGGGAGCCTCCGACTGCGGCCCGCGTGCCCTCAGCGGCCAGGGCGGGGGAGCTGGCGCCGGGACGCCGTGCAGCCTGGGCTCAGCCTCAGCCCGGCCTGACCTTGAATCACCGTCGCATCGTTTGTAACTTATTTTACATAATTTTGCTTGCCACTGATGAGCTGAACTGCTGCTGCTGCTGCTCTGTGCCTCCTCCTCCTTAGTTTCATTTTGACATCACCGCGTCCTCGCTGTGATGATGCCACCCGCCTGCCCTAACGCTGCTGGGACTGTGCCCAGGGAGAGGGGGGTCACCTTGCTGTGACAGGTAACCTCGTCACTTGTTACTGCGCCTTGTCCCCCTCCAACTTGGAAGATTTTGCTTTGGTGGTGATCTGTCTTAGATTAGTGCCTCGGTGCTGTGGAGATTGCTCACAGCGATAAGTTACTTCAAGGAAGAGCCAGCTCTAAACGGGTTCTGAGTTTGTGTTACAGCTAGATATTTTCAATATTTTTTAGACTTCTAGTTTTAGATTGCTTTCAGGATGTTGTGGAACATAGACGCTTTTCTAAATATAAATGCAGTTTACCATTTTCCCCCCTTTTTTCCACCCTGGTAGCATGGCTCCCCAAATCACTTAAGATCCAAATGACATTAAGAAATTCCTACCCATCCTTGCCGATTTATTGAAAAAAATGCCAAGCTCACATTTTAACTCTGCCTGTTTCAGAATAGTAAGATATACGGCGACGTTATAGTCATCCCCAAATAAGACTGTCCGTGGTATCTTCCCCATTGCTGAGCCACGCCGCAGGGCCCGGCAGCGCGGTGGTGCCCGGTGGGTGGCTGGGAAGAGCGGGTGCTCTGCACCCCTTCTCACCAAACCCAAGAGAATCGGTGCTGCGGCAGCACCTTGGGCTGCTCCGCGGCGCCCGGTGTTTGTGACCTTTGGCCCAGACCCGCTCGCCCGCCGTGGCCCTGCCCTCAGCGGCACGGTGCAGGCCGGGCAGGCGAGTGCGGGCTCGCGGTAGTTGGGGCGTAAGCTGGGCTTACCTCTGCATGCCGGCTCCAGCTGCGCCTCCGGCTTCCCCGCTCCGCTCTCCTGCGCGGTGCGAAATGTCCTCAAGCCTCTGAGCTGGCATCTGAGCAAGGCTGGCTGCCCGCCGGGCCTCTCCCCCCACCTCCGGGCAGCCCGGGGATGGGGGATCAGGCCGGCTCCAGCCACCGCCAAGACGCTTAAAGAAGCTCAGGCATTTCTAACACAAGCAGTCATCTGTGAGTCCTAATCAAAGCTTCGGTTTAATTGCTTTCCTCGTGCCCTTCTCTGCACGGGGAACGCCGCGCGGATTGGCTGGCTACGGCGGCTGCCTGCCAGCCACCTCGAGAGGCTGCTCCGCACTGCCCCGGCTTTTTTGGTCACAGGGGTGGGGACCAGGAGAGGGAGGAGGAAGAGGGAGGACACAGCCCATGCATTTCTAGAAAAATTAGATGTCATAGGGTCCTTCCCCGAACTCCTCTGCACCGCACTTGGGAATCCCCGTCCCTTTTACAGACATCTGCATCGTTGTTTTCTCTCTCGGTGCTCGGTTCTGCTGTTTCACCCTCGTGTTTCCTCCTCCTAACCAAAAGCAACTCCTCTCTGGTGAGCGTTTCTCAGAGGCTCCCTTGCCAAGCACTGTTTCATAAACATTTTCACGAATCCTCTGCTTTGTCCTCCTAATTAACCATCCAATTGGCCCCCAATGGAGCCTTCACCTCTCCTGCGAAGATCCTGCTTGCACAGATTATAACCTGTCAGCTGCCAATTTATTCCTCACACAGAGGGCAGGTTTTATTAATTGTCTGGCTTCCCTGCCCCGTTGGGTTTGCCCTCCCTTTCTCCTGCTCCCAGTAGCATCCCTGTTCAGAGACACAGACTCACAGAAAACCGGGGGGACCCAGATGTGGGGCGGCTCCGTGTGACCCACGTGTCCCGCCCGCAGAGATGTGGCAGTTAGACCAGATGTGACGGGACG